GAGAAAAGAGATGTTGTTCAGAAGGATGAATGATAACAACAAGATAATCAACTGACCTGTAATGATAACTAATGAAAGCATATATATAGGAGAGAGAGAGAGAAAAAAAATAAACGACAGGAAGACAAATTATATATGGAAGGAAGGACAAAACAAAATGACCAAAGGACAGTGACTAAATTAGTTAGCGGCAACATAGTGTCATCTGTTGACGCTAACACCTTCCCCCTTTAGCAAAAACGAATCTGGGGAAAAGAAACTCCTGCCTCCACCACTGTGTGGGCTGGAAAGAAAACCACTTTAGTCACTAGAAGAAGAAAAACAAAATAGAGAAAACTGACTCACGCACTCTCACAGAAATCACTCTCACGCATGTTCACACAGATCCTCTCTGAAACACTCACACATACACGTCAACAAACAGCATAGGAAAAGAAGAGTTAGGAAAGATACCACTGGAAAAAAAGTTCTTTACAAAAAAACGTCTTTAGGTAAAGCCTTGAGTTAAAAGGGGAAGAGAAGCAAAAGAAGAGATAACATCAACCATATTGACCAAAAAAAAGGCCCACAGACAAACAAGTCTTCATGAATATAACAAAAACAAAAAAAATATAACTATAACAAACATAAATATACAAAGAAAACCAAAGATGATGAACATTAATAAAACGAATGTTCATAAGGATGAGTTCAAAGCCATTTTTTATAGCTATTTTTCCCATAAGCATTTGTGTTTAAAAGTTGATTTTTCTTTCTTTTTTTATAAAGGAAATTTTTCCTTGAATTATACATACTTGTAATATTTTTATGACATTGAGGAACATCTCTTCGTAACACATAAGAAAGTAATTCTAACTGATTAGAATTCGGAATGGTTACCAAATGTGCAACGTGTTCAATTAGGTGGACCCGTTTTAACATGTAATTTTGGCCACCTTGTAATTTCATGGAGTTTTTCATCGAGCTTTCTACGATCTCTCGAGGAAGCTCGTTTCGAATTAGATCAAAAGTAACTATAGATGGATCAGAACTAACTGTCATGAATTTCATAGCTGGTTTCTCACCAATAGCATTGGTGGCACCAAAATCAACAACAGCCTTTGAGCAGAATAGAGGTGTTTCACATTCAAAACTTATCATATCGGGACTATCAGTACTATCAACGATTGCACGACGAAGTGCATAAGCTGTTTGATCAAGAATACTAGAATTAAGAAATGTATTCTGGGATATTGCAACATTTGATCGATTAACAGGATCATCACCGGATAAACCGGTGGCTCCTAGATCATGTAATGCAGTTGAACGTAAAATTGGAGGTTGCGGTAAACTATCATTTAATTCAAAGGTACTAGTAGTCATTTTCGGTTTATCATCGAAAACAACATTCTTTCGTATAGACGCATCCTCGATTAAATTACTCTGACTTAATGTTGGTGGACCAGAGTACGATTTTGTGTGTTGAAAATTATAATTGATAGGTTTATATTCCATCCATATCAATTTATAGAAATCATCATACGTATTTATCTTATTCTCATTCTCGATATATATTCGTTTAGCATCTCCTTCGACAAGCAAAGGAATTGCGAGACATCGATGTTTACGTGAAATTTTAAAAGTATTGAACTTCTTATCAGTAATATCTAACCATTCAATCACATTCTCATTTCCGGAAAACGGACTAAAATTATTTAGAATAAATGTATCAAAAGTATCTTCTTCTTCAGGTTCACCATAAGATGATCCTTCGTCTGATGATTTATTATCATCAGATCTTTTATATCGATTACTAGAGGGCTTCATAGTTAATCTACGATGTTTATCATACTTCATTGTAGCTGTTATATCTTTCTTTGTTACATCAGACGATAACTCTTCTAACGTTTCTTTATTTTCAAGTGGATCACTTGCAATTTTATCGTCAGACATTTTTTCTTTTACGACACAAAAGACAGATTAAATTTTTAGCAAGAAATAAAGAAAAAAAGAAAAAATATATATGTTTAAGAAAAAAAGAAGCAAATAGATTTTGACAACGCCAATAATTGTCAAGTAAACAGATGTTACACTTACAAGGGGAACAAAATCTCTTTTTTAAATGGGAGATGATGAGATAAATGAATTCCTTGAGATATTCTACAAGGACGTCTTATATTCTTGTATTAAGAAATTCGTTATGTGACAGTAAAAATACCCAAAATATAAATATAACTTAATTCAATTAATGTTACACGCTGTTAAATTAATTGAATACAACGGGAAGAAATTATGGGATTATATAGATAGATATATAGGCGGATAGTTAATGGAGTTAATACAGACCAAATAAAGTTTTGCCCAACTTCTCCACCAATTGTTAGCTTTTCGTTTGTTATCCTAAATCTCCTGCACACGTTCTAT